GGGGCAAACAGCATTACATGTAACCAAAATGTGTTGGCCCCCATTATACCCCAAAAAAAAAAAAAAAAAAAAGAGAGATTTTTTAAGCAGTAGAGTGATGTAATGAAATTGGTGTTAAAAATGATATTCTGGCCAGAGTTTTAAGAACAGAGCAGAAAGAAGATGAGGACAAGCTGGAAAACCTGTCGGTATGCCACCACAGTAGTCCTAGGACTTGAAGATGAAAGTTTGGACTATACTGGTGGCAATGGAGATAGAAAGATGTGAACACATTTAAGATATGTTAAGGAGTAACACATATAAAACCTGGTAATTAATTAGATATGGACACTGAAGGAAAAAGGAATCAGTTAAGACTCCTAGATTTCTGGTTTGGGTAACTGCATAGATGGGGTGTACGAACAAGGTAAGTTCCTACATGTTGAGTCTTGATAGTGAGATATTCAAATGGAAATGTCAAGCAGACACAACTACCAAATCTCTGCTAGTATAAGTACTGCAGTTTCTTCATCTCAAGACAGTTAATCTTAACATCAGCTAAAATAAGCATCTAAAATCAAAACAATAATGTTATGTGACATAAGCCAGGAAAAGAAAAACAAATACTGTATGATCACCTCACCTATATGTGGATCTACAACAATCAAACTCATAGAAGCAGAGAGCAGAATGGTGGTTATTAAGGGCTACAGGGGCAGAAGAACGGGGAGATGCTGGTCTAAGGGTATTAAGTTGCAGTCAGATAAGGAGGGATAAGTTCTAGAGATCTATCATTATACAGCCTGGTGACTATAGTTAATAATAACGTATTGTATACTTGAAAACTGCTAAAAGAGTAGATTTAAAATTTTTATTTTCATCAACAAATGATAAATATGTGAGGTAATAGATACATTAACTTGATATAATCTTTGTTAACAGTATTATTACTATAAATAAAGTTATAGGCCAGAATTTTGAAAATATTTTGTTTTAAAAGTAGTCCCAACAAAAGTGGCATAAAATCTCTAGAATGAAAAAAAACACAAATTTCTGTATTAACATAAATGAAATCTATCTTTCTCAAAGCCTTTTTTCCCCCTAAAGATCTTGGGCAGGATACACATGCAACCAGATGAAGTTTTCAGAAAATGCAAATGCACGACAACATCCTATGATCTCCTATTACTTTCAGATAAGATACAGTCTTACAGCAAGTCTGGTAGCTACTAAATGTTAAGTCCTCAATACCTGAATGGCAGTATTCAACCTGAATGGCTGAAAAAATTATGATCAAGTTGCCAATAAATTTGGAAGAAAGCATTCTCAGATGAAGTAAAATAATCTAAAATACAAATAATTTAAATTATTGTATCAAACAATGATATAGACATATGCCAATTATATTAATGGCATTAATGTCTCTGTACTTCAAAATGTAATTCCAATTTTTAAACATCTTTTTGTTAAATATTAAAAATTCTCATGTCGTGTAATAGGACCAATTTCACTAAGAGTTTGTTTCTTATGTAAATAACCATGTAACTAAATTATAAGCAGGTAGTTTATTTTCTCTTTTATAAATATCCACAGCACCATCTATAGGCAAAACTCAAGTAAGCATGTTCTTCAATACTGTTCTCAATATAGTTCTACCACCAGAAGTCTGATTCGTACAGCAACTCAATTTCTATGCAAAGAATATCTCCATAAGAATACCTGAAAAGGCTTTTATAGTTTACTGCCCCAGGAAGGATAGACCAAAAACAGAAAGGGAAAAAAATTCACTAGAAATGGAGGGACTTGGGTGTACAGGTAGAATTACTGCCACTCCTCATTAAATAAGATTTTCTCTAGCAGCTCTGAAAAATTTGTTGACCTCTTTTCTTTTTCCTCTAACAACATCCCAATATGTATTCCAGGGATTACCAACAATTGTTGAGTAGAATAAAGGGAATGTATTTTCAAATTAACCAATATAACTATATCTGCTCCTTTTAAGTATACTATGTGGTTGTGATGAAACATACTTCCAGCTGTAATTCTGTATACTTTCTCCTAAGTTCAGTGACTTCTTCCCCAGCCTGCATCTTCTTATATAAATCGAGTTCTGTGTCAAGCAATTCTTTCTGCATCTAAAATATAGATATTAATTAATGTTTTACATGGCAATAATATCCTGCATTTATACAAAGCTTTTTATCAAAGAACTTTTACATATTCCCATTTAATCCATACATTTCTTTTCTATCTCCAGTACTATACCACTCTAGCCCGAGCCATAATATTCCACACCTCCACAATACTGCAATAGCTTCCTAACTAGTTGCTGCTTTCACTAACTTCCCTACAATTTATTTTCCATGCAGTAGCCAGAGGGAGAATTCTGTAGCTTGATATGGAGTAATTTTCAAGAAATAACTAAAGAGGAGCAAAAAAAAAAAAAAACAAAAACAAAAACAAAGGTGCTAACAAGAAATATACAGCATGCTTTTATGCAGGAAAGAATACACACACACACCCACACCCGTACATACATACATACACATACACACACACACAAACATATACACATCTATAAAAAGAAACATTAGAAGGATAAACCACTAATGATATTGATTACCTACAGGGCAGGGGATAGGCACAGAGTATAAGGGATCAAAGGGGAAGGGGTCTTCTATGCACACCTTTTTTTATATAATTTGGCTTTTGAGCCATGTCAACTGTTTTACTAACTCAAAAAATAAAATTAAATCAGCAAGAACTGGGGGTGGAGTGGCAGGGGGGCGGGGGGGAAGGCACGTCCAAAACTAAGCACAAGTAGAAATAAACCTACCTTTATCAAATTGATAACTACACAAAAGGAAAAAAATGCAATTCTAGACTGCAGTTCTCACTTTACATCCTTAGGTGGACTACACTGAGGTTGTCAAGAATGCAAATAAATTTTGAATTTTATCAGTTGTGGAAGTGGTATTGTATCAATTTTGAAACTATTCTGAATCTACTATAGGACTGTGTCAATGAATAATATATTGATGTTAGTGGAACCAAGTTGTCATTATGAGACTAGGAGATAAAATATAGAATAAGAAAAGGAAGAACTATATGGTGTTGGATTAAAATTAGAAATATCAATATAAATCATGATTTTATACATACATACATAGACACCAAGTATAAATATTGTGTAACTCTGTAGTTTTTTTGTTTAATCACTTATTACCAACTGAAATTATCTTGCTCACTTGTTTGTTATAAAGGTCAAACTCCTCAGTCAAGCATTCAAATACCTATATTATTTTGTCCTCACGGTACCTTTCAAGATTATCCATAACTATTTTCCTAATTACTGGCTTACCAACTATAACTCCACAGAATTCAAAAGATTAGTAGAGTTTACTTGTTTATATTTATTTATTTATTAATGGCAAGGCGAGAATACTACAATGGTCAGATTTTGAACAAAGGATATTAAGAAAAACTAAATCTTCAATGTGTAGTGTTTAATGTTTTTTAGTAAGTAATAATAGGAATAACAATACAAATTAAAATACCTGAGTCTTGGTTTTTATACTTTTTGGAAGACAGCGTCCAGGAGAAGCAGCTTTGACCTCATCTTTCAACTTGGTAATATTTTTTGTCAAAATCTCTAAAGTTTTCATTATTTCTGCTTTATCTTCAGACTTCATTGTTTTGTTTTTCTCTAGTTTTGAAATTAACATCTGCCAAATTTTTAAAAAGAGAAAAATATTAAGATACTTACTTCTACTATTTTTAACAAAGCAAACACAGAAAGTAAGTATAAAAATAAATACAATTACTTTTAGTGTATGCATTCATGACAAAGCTAACAACCACTAAGTAAAAACAGCGGAAGAGCAGATCTGGTGACGCTAACCATTTAACAATTCAAGTCTTTGTCCTGGTTTACTTTGTGAAGAACTATATTATTATTTGGGTCTCTTAGAACCTAAAATCAAAGCACACAACCAGAAGAAATTCAATTCTATTACTGAAAAACTGTCAATCTGAAATAATATCAACAACTTTACTTTCTGATTTATATGCTGACATTACTGCCCCTACGTATTCCCACTCTATATGTAGTCTGTAGCCCAGAAAAAAACAGAGGAAGTGTTACGGTTCCTTTAATATAGTGAGATATTAGAAAAATTGAATGTTTAATTACTTTCTTTGTCTTAGGGAACAATAATTGGCTAGCCTAAGAATGATACACACAACATGAATAGGAAACAAGATGATAAGTAAGGTAATATGAAGTAGAAAAAGCCACATAATATTATTCGGAGTTGTCTGGTTATTCTGAGTCAAGACGGCTTCAGATTTTGGCACAAAGCACTGTGATTTCTCTTAGTCAAGAACTGAGACTAACTAAATGTCATAAATTAGAGCAACGCTGTCCAAAAGAAATAACGTAAGCCACAAAAGTAATTTCTAATTTTCTATCAGTCACATTAAAAAGATAAAAAAAAGAAAATTAACTTTAAAATACATTTAACCCAATATGTCCAAAATGTTATATTCCAACAAAAATTATTGTGATGTTTGTTTCTTTGTACCACATCTTTGAAATCTGGTATGTATTATACACTTACAGCATATCTCAATTTAGGCTAGACACATTCCAAATACTCAATAGTCAGATGTGGCTACTGACTGCTGTATTGGACAACATAGGACTAAAGGATCTCAAGCCAGTAAGGAAAGGTACATATCGACATTGAGAAAAAGCTTCCATTTCATTATCTGTTGAACAAACTACTGTGAAGCAAAATAACTGAATGAATACTACCTTATTTTCATTTCATGTTGATAACCATAATTCCATTTAAACTACACCCACCATTTACTGTTTGCTCTTTACCTCCAATATACTATCATTGATAACTATATCAGTTACCATTACCAATTATAGTAAATCTGTTTCTCAAAACTATTTAGTGTAACATTAAATTCACTCAAAATTATAACATTTGTAAATATATTTTGCCAAATCTAACTTTATCATTTTACCTTCTGTGTTTCAATGTGCTTTTCTAAAATTTCTTGTTTCCTTTTCCTTACATCCTGCTGAAGTTTCAGTGCCTCCTAGAGTCAGGGATTAAAAATATCATTAGAATATTACTAAGGATAAACAATATTACTCAAGAGGAGAAAAGTGGATATAATTGCAGAAGCTCAGCAACAAAAATTATATGCAAAGTTTTCCTACGTAAAACTTAAAATACGTGTAAAAGTTTGAAAGATCAATCACAGGAACCTTTTGTTCAAAGGAAAAACTAATATTTACTGATATATTGTGGAAAATGAAAGTTTAGTGATAGCCAACAAATACCTTTTGGTCTTATTTTGTGATAAGCACTGAAAAAACACATACACAAAGATTTCCTATATGCAAATTGTGTGCACTATACTAGCTGCACTTACCTGCTTTTTTTTCTGTGCTTCATTATTATCAACTGTAGAAGTGGAAACAAGTAAGGATTTTTGTGCAGCCTTCAAAGCAGCGGGATTATATACTGTTTTTGTTAGGCCAGTGGATGTAGACAACACCTACCAATACAAATTCAATTTCTTAAAAATACATCAACGATTCATGATTTCCTAAGTTCTAATTTCTATAAAACTTAACTTTAAAGCACTACTGTCAAACTTCAAAGCACACTGAACTAATTCATTATATACTTAAAGTAACTAAATCACATTTGGTGGTTTGAAAGGTAGGATATAATGAGGAATAAGCCCTAAAACGAAAAAAATTTAAATTAACACCAAATACCTATATAAAAAGATATTATACAAAGACAAACATACAAAAATGTCAAATCAAGACATTTACTATACCACTGAGAAATATTAGTTTGTTAAATACATTTACTATTATTCCTAATGATTAAAGCAAAAACCGCACACAAGAGCATGGCACAGGAGGAAAATGGATAGTGTCCCTCAAATAATTTTTAAGACCATTTACAATTCTAAAATATACCCTATTGCATTCATTCTCCGTTCTTTGGTAGCAATGCTCCTTCTGCTTAAAGTGACCTCATTCCCTTAAACCCAGCTCAGGTTCAGCATAACACAATCGAGACATCCACAAAGCCCTCATCATTTCTCTCTTCTATGCAGGTCCATATATTAAATTTTATTCCTTCAGCTATTAGGTAAAAATTCTATTAGCTATTTTTAGCTAGTATTAGCTACTTAATAAAAATGACCTAATGATATATTAATTAACGTGTCTTTCTCCCTGTCTACACTGTAAGGGCCCTATAACAAAGACCATGTCTTTCTCCTCTTTGTGCTTCTTCCAGTACCTAAGTCTTGCTACCAACTAATTATGGACCATAGGTAAGATCAAGCACCTTTTTAGGCCTTAGTTTACCAATCTATAAAGTAAGGAAGTTCAATGTGATGGAGGCTAAGGTCTTTACAAACCCAAAAATTCATTCCATGAAGGCAAGGATTTTTTTTTTTTCTTCTTCCTTGGTTCACTGCTGTATCTTCCATGCCTAGAACACTGCCAGGGCACACAGTAAATAATAAGAATTTTTGTACTAAACTAAATGAAAATAATTATAGGTCAGAGTGGACAACCTTTTCTACACAAGGGTCAATTCAAAAAGAAAAGTATTCATAGGCTGTCTTTTTTATCCTTCAAAAGCAAAACAAGTTCCATAGGATAGCTGGTTACTGATTCTTAAAAAGGAGCCTAGGGATCCCTGTAGGGAGATCTACGAATGCTATAAAAACTAAATGTGAAACCATGTATGTGAACACTAGAATTTCCCAGAGGAAAAAACATTCCTTTTAAAGTCTTAAAAAGAGTTTATAACCTAAAAAAGGTTAAAAGAACTACTGAAGTGGAAAAGTAACACTGAGAAAAATGGCTCTACTTTTCAGCTACTAAAATGTTAACGTCTGGGTAACAAAAGTAGCAATCCAAAGACCACCTTCTAATCTTTCATCATGAAATTACATTAGGGAACATCACAAAGCTTAGACAACTCATCTCCATTCTAAGTAGTCAAGAATGTCTTTGCCTCTAAATGAAATAAAAACCTAGAATATTGTAATTGCGCTAGTTCCACATAGTACAACTGATGTGTGAAAATAAAAGTTAACAATACTTGATGTGTGTCAAAATTTGATCGATAATTTTCTTCAATGATGAAAACTAATACTCAGATATCACTAACAAATATTAAATGGTTGCATTCATTAAAACAGGGAGTAAAACACAAATTTTGTTTATGGTCTAACTTCATTAACCATTCTCTGTAATTCTGGAGATCAATTTCTTCCATAGAAGAAATTACCTTACCACACAACAAAATGCCAAACTGTATGATTATACAAAGGTGAGACAATAACTTTTATAAGGGGAGAGACACAAGATAATCTGCCGAAAACAGAGTCTGAGTGTTTAACGAACTGTTTTCCTCATAAGCGTTCCATAACAAGTTGAAAAGTTGTGACCAAAAAAGATTTCTATACTCAAGTTGGAAACAATAAATATCACAAACATATTTTCCAATTTCAAATGTATATTATAATAAAAGCAGAAATAAAGAAACCCATATAAGTTATTTAATTCAGCATTTCTCCAACTTCAGTGTGCAGAGAATAGTCCTTTTCAAAGCATCCTTAACATCTAATATCAGACTAAGCAGTGCTGGTTTAAAGTGCATAGAAGTATCTCACAAGAATAAGAAGACTCCTTTATTCCTAGAAGTATTCTCATTTCCTTGTTTTATTCAGGAACTTCCTTCTATAAAAATAGAACATTCACTAATATATTGAGCCTAAGATTCAATGACTATAAGACACACTATCATTTTATATACCCCTATTACAGAGAAAAAGGCTTGAATTATAACCATAAACACCAACAACTTAAAGATACAGCCTGGGCGGGGGGGGGTTTAAACCCACAACTAATGGAAGCAGAACGTACTGTATGGAGGAGGGACACGCCTGTAGCCCTGGCTTGCGTGGGGCAAACAGCATTACATGTAACCAAAATGTGTGTGCCCCCATTATATCCCAAATCAAAAAAAAAAAAAAAGATACAATCCAATTTCAGAGGTGTTAAAATGTAAAAAAACGTGTCTTGGAAACAATGAATATGTAATTACAAACACTGCTCACTATCTGAATCTACTTGGTTCCAGAGTTTAGATGGCAAGGCATATATGTATTTTCAGAAGATGAAAATCTATTAAAAACGAAACCAGTGGAGAGAAGTGACAAGCTCAATAGAAAAGAAGATGCTATAATTCCTAAGAACACAGTCAAAGCACACATAGTGGCCTTTCCAAACAACCATACCTTGTCTTTTTCCAAATGGGTTTCTATATGTGCTGTAATTTTTACAAATTTATTTTACTTGACACCGCAAGTGCATTCATTTAAAAATTTCAACTGTTTATGAATACTTTTGGACTTTCTACACATATAATCATGTCATTTGCGAGTAAAGTTTTACTTCTTTCTTTCTCTCTCTCATATGGTTTATAGCATTTTCTTTACTTAGTATACGGAGTAGATCCTCCAATACAATACTGAGAAAGGGTGATCAGAGTGGACACCCTTGTCTTGTTCCTCATCTCAAGGGAAAAGCAGTCAGTATTTCACCATTGAATATAATGTGAGCTGTAAAGATTTTTTGCAGATATCCTTCATCAAAGCAAGGAAGTTTCTATTTCTCTTTTGCAGTTTTTAATGTAACTAAGTAACAAATTGTATCAAATGCATTTTCTACCAAGATAATCATTTGGGGTTTTTTCCCCTCCCTTATTCTGTTAATATGGTGAATTAAACTGATTTTCAACTGTTAAATTAACCTTGAATTTACCTGACCATGATGTATTATGTATTTAATAAATCACTAGACATCTGCTAGTATTTTGTTTAAGACATTTGTGTTTATGTTCATGAGAGATACTGTGCTATAATTTTCCTTCCTTGTAATATCTTGCCAGGTTTTGGTATCAAAGGAATGTTGAACTCAGAAAATGAGTTGAAAGGTATCATGTGCTATGTTGTCAAAATGTACATCACTAATACCTCTTAGTTTCCCTAAAGAAATAGAGGTTATAATCCATTTATTTTATTTCCTATGTAAAATATTACTACACATAACTACTATTAGTACTTGTAAAGAAAGAGAAAAAACGGCTTTTTCTCATGGATAAGAATGGAAGGAAAAAAGTATTTTGTAACAATTACTACAAAAGTTATTATAAATTCAGTCACCGAAGTATCATTTTTTAATAAATAATGCCGAAACTGTACTTAAATACAAAAGAAACACAGTTATAATGCTTAACACATTGACTGCTACACTTGGAAAAAAATTTTTTTTCCTTAGGGCCATGGTATTTTATTACAAAAATAGAATAAAAACTTTGAAAACAAAACAATCCTTTCTAATTTAATGAAAAATGAAATTTATTGGCTTCTATTCATTTAATCCATGTTTTTAGAATTAATTTGTCAATATTAATTATTACAATAAGAACATCAACAAGTAAGATTTTTACAAACCAACTATAGGGTTGTGCCCAGGTTTTGTTTCACAAGGTCCCAGGCTCAACACTAGCATGAGTTAAATACAACTCACATGGCAGTCAATGTGTTAAAAGCCATACTCAAAATAAGTAGCTCTAACAGGATTTTAAAGCAGAAATGCCTTGTTTCAATACAATATAAATAGTATCTGAGGAGTTACGTGGATGCTTGCTTATTAATGTAATTACTGTATGATCAATTTTTATATTAAGTAAATCATCTGTTCAGTAACTATAAATGTATATTTATGATATTCACTTAAAGGAGCACACAGATGTGCATTCTATGCCAAGCCTAACTAACTGAGAACTCTAGTGAGAAGATTAGGATTTTAAATATATAAAATATTTTTAAAGATTAACAGTTTTTTTCTTCCAAGAATACTAAATATTCATTTTTTAATCCATTGATCCTTTACTCATTTTAAAATTTTTAAAATTTATTTTCATTGACAAATAAAGATTGTATATAAATGCTCAGTTTATGATGGGATTATGTCCCAATAAACCCATCATAAGGCAAAAATATCCTAAGTTGAATATGCATTTAATAACCCAGAGTGAACCCATCATCAAGTAGAAAAATTGGAAGTTTAACCATCGTAAGTTGCGGATTCTCTGTATATTTATCACAGACAACATGTTGCTTTGAAATATATACACAGTGGAATAGCTAGATCAAGCTAATTAACACTTGCATTATCCCACATATTTTTTTGTGGTGAGAACACTTAAAATCTACTTTCTTAGCAACTCTCAAGAATACATTTTTATTAATTATAGTCATCATGTTGTAACAATAGATGTCTTGAACTTATTCCTCCTATCTAACTAAAATTTTAAATCTTTGACCAACATCTTCCCAATCCCCCTACCCTTCAACCCCTCCTAAGCACCATTCTACCCTTTGCTTCTGAATTCAACTTTGTAAGATTCCACATATCAGTGAAATAGAGACTAAAAGAAACAAAAGAATAAACAATCTTTAGAAATATTTTAACAAATATAAAAGTAAAAAATGTATTCAGTCAGTAATCAATTTTTGCTGTAATAGTTTAGTTCTCAGAAAGTTAAGGAAATACTTTCAAATAAATCGCATTTTCCTATAAGAAACATAATCCAGGTAATAATACTGACAGAGGCCAATACACTAAAAAAGTAAAAATGATCAATAACAATTATGAAAGGAACATATTATAAACTCTCTAATCTTTATATTATTTATATATTTATTTTATTATTTTTTGAGACAGGGTCTCACTCTGTTGCCTGGGCTAGAGTGCAGTGATGTCATTACAGCTCACTGCAATCTCAAACTCCTGGGCTCAAGCTATCCTCTCACCTCTGTCTCCCGAGTAGCTGGGACCACAGGTATGTGCTGCCATACCCTCCCTAATTTTTCTAGAGACAGAGTTTCACTATGTTGCTCAGGTTCCTAATCTTTATATTTAAAATAGCAAAATTACATAAAAAATCTGAATTTTAAAAATCAAAGGGTTAAGAACAACTACCTTGTCTGGTTCTCACTATTAAATTGGAACTAATCAATCAACACACATATGCATATACGAAAGTAAAACTCAAGGGAAATCAAGCAGGTGGCGGAGAGACAATGGGTAAATTCATACCTAATGGGTACAATGCACACTATCTGGGTGATGGGCACACTTATAATGCTGACTCAAACTGTAAAAAAAGCAGTTCATGTGACCAAAATGTTTGTATCCCATAATATTCTGGGGGAGGTCAGGGGGAAATGACTACTTTTTACACTTAAGGAAACACAGCCAGTAAGACTTCAGCATCATACACAACGGCAGCTGCTAAATCAATAGATGAAGTCTTTATATGACACACAACGTTCTTTCAATTATACTACACAATTTCCCTCTTAAAAGCTCCATGGTATAGATGTTAACATATCATCTATGTAAAGGGACCAAGCATATTTTTAGATTGCCAAAAAAAAATAGTATTGAAAAATAACATCCTGTATCATAAATTTGGTATCTAAAACTGATATGATACAGAGCATTAAATACTCAATTTATTATACAGTTTATGTTCTTATAATTTAGAAGGGCTTTAACAAGGGTTTACTGGGTGTTGCTTATAGAGAATATAAAATGTTACATTTGTGTACTTATTTGGTTTAACAATGACAGAGGATACTGCAGATACTAGCTTTGAGCTTTCCCCTGCCTTCAATTTAAAAAAGAATCTTTTAAATAATATTTGATGGTGGAGAATATTCTTCTATTCTTCCTAAGATTTCTCTGAATCAATGCCCTCTAAGGATTCTGCACTCAAACCCCCTAAGGGTTAGGGGAACAGAAACAGAAACCACCAAGGAGAAGCAAAAATAAAATGTTACTCTATAAAGAGGTTCACTAAAGATGACTAAAAATTACATACTTATAAATAATTGTTTTTCTCGAGAGATCCTTTACAGTATTTATTGAGTAATTTTTTTTCATAAATAGCCTGCTACCATTAATGAATTTTCACAAATTTGGTTAGGGGTTATTATTATTAATATAGTATATATTGGTATATATGGTAGTTACATATTAGTTAAGTTATAGTGTCAATTCTAGATTTGTACCCATTTTATTCTAAAGTTATACAAAATACTTATAAAAAGCAGTAATAAAACAATAACAAAACATACTACAAAAATTTTGTAAAAGCTGTGAGTATGGACTTCAATATCAAGAGTACAAATCTTGACATAAACAGATCCTAAACATTATTGGGTATTTTAGATGTCTCCAGAATTGCTCAGTAGTACACTAAGTACAGCAGAACTTAATGTTTTTGTAAGTTTTATTTTGTTTTTAATTGACACATAGTAATTATAAATATTTAGGGGGTACAGTGTAATGCTTTGATACATATATATATACTGTGTAATGACCAAATCAGGGTAATTAGCATATCCATCACCTCAAATACAGGGTTTTTTTGCAGTTCCTGAATCACTTACTATCAAGGAGGATAAATCTAATCAAAGTAAACATTTGATAATGCTAAATTTAATAGCACAGACTAAGCAACACAGTTCAGAGAAGGAAGGGGGATAAAATGGAAAAATTTGGAGGTTTCATGGGAGACAGAGAGATTTTTCAATCTTTAAAGAATAACTATAATTCAGTTAGGCAGGGGTAAATGCACTCTAGAAAAATCACCACCAAAAAAAAAAGGAAAAAGGCAGGAAAGGGCAAGAAACAATAAGCAGAAAAGTACTTTCTAGGGTATAAAAGAAACACTAACGCAACAGAACCAGAATTATTGTGGTACTGATGAGCAGTGAATCAAGCAAAGTAATTTAGCTGAGAAGTTTAAAGTTTCTGTAATGAATCAGTATTAAAATAAGTCTGAGAGTAGGATAGTGACAGTTTAAAGGAGGATAATTCCAGGATGCCAGCTAAGACACTGTACCCACAGGCCAGGGAACTGAAGGTGGCAGAGAAAAAGTAGTAGACTAGAAACACAAGTAAATGACTATAAGGTTTTTAGTTCATATAGCTTAGAAAATGGTGTTATCACTTCCTGAGCTAGGAGACAGGAGAAGTTAATTTACATGGAAAATAATGAACTCATTTTAGGCGAGTTATGCCTGAAGTAATACTGAGATATCCAAGACAAAAGTCTGATACACAGAATGAGATTCAGATTCAAATTTCTAGAACTGCTAAAGTTTAACACAGTAAATAAGGAAAACAATATTGTGAAGAACAAGTGAAGACAGCAGGTCAGCTATCACACTGGATGCTTTGTTTATCTATGAAATTGATTTCTTTTGTAATTCTTCAGAATGGAAAGAGCCATGGACTAGAAATACGAGACCTGGATTCTAGTTCTGGCTCAGTAACTCATAGTGTATAGATCAAACCATAAAAGTATTTGGGTCTTGACTTTCTTATATAATGTGAAATATATAGACATAAGAAAGATTAACTAATTCTAACATTCTGTGATTTCACATACCTCGAAATAAGACTAAAGATCAGGGCATTCACTCATACCTAAACAGAAAAAAATAACACATCTACATAGAACTATAAGACAGATCTATAAAAGTTCTTCATTTAATCATTATTTACCCCCTTATTTAAAAAAAGACATGACTAAACGTATTGTCAGGCTACATCAATAGCTGTTTAGTAATAAATAAAAAACTTACATTTACATCATCCTTTCCAGTTTTAAAAATACTTTTAAACAACTGATTTTATTTAATCCTCACAAAACCCCATGAGCAAGACAAATATTACCGTCACCATTTTACTGATGAGTAAAAAGATTCAGAAAAGTTAAGAACACTGCCCAATGTCATGCAGTTAGTAAGTGAAGAGCCAGGGCTCAAACTCAGGTAAAATTCCTAATTTCTGGCCTTTTCTATTAGGCTGCCAGAATTATCAAATTAAAATGCACAGTATTTCTAAGGAAAATAAAAAAAACAAAAAGAATGGAGCACATGAAAATATAGTGAGAGGCAAGTATTAAAATGCTGATGCAAAAAGTAAAAAAAGAAAGGCAAATATTTTTCTCTTTTTCAGCAAATAGAAAGCAAAAAGGTAGGAACAGGAGATACAGGTACTATTAAGAAGCAAGAGTTTGGAACTATGAAAAAAATTAAAAATTAAGATGCCACCTGAAAACATTTACGAAGCCGAGACAAACACATCATGCTATTCTTCTTACCTTTTCAGTTGCTGAAACAGATGGCTTTGATACAAAACCCAACCTGTCCTTCACAGATAACTTAGTTACATTCTAAAAAAATTAAAATGGACATATTCAGTGTTTCCCCAAACATATATAAGTCTGTTGGGATTTTGAACATTCTGATTCTACTTACATATACTGAATCTATGAGTATACTGATGCTAATCACAAAAACTTGGGCATTTTTTTAAAGGGAGCGAAACAGAAAGAAATGTGTGTGGAAAAAACAAAAATAAACAGTATATGATATTAATCATGAAAAAGTATGACGTAAAATAAGAGGTCTGAGCCAGGTGGTTGCTAAAGTCCCTTCCATCGAGATGGAATCATAAATTCTTAGAACCCTATGCTAACAAGTAGAAAGTCTGAACATACTGAATATTAGGTTTAAGTACGTAAAATATACACCACTACGCTATTAACTATTACTGCCATTCTTTCCTAAAGTATGTTTCTTTTATATCCAAATACGTTGTATTTGGTGATGATTTGGAATATCAGAATTGGGGATTTTTTAATAACTAACAATTTATCAATTTACATTCTTTATGTTCTTACAGAATCGCAGTATCTTACACTTCAGGAATTATCTAGGAAGACAATTTTAATAAGGTGGCATCCATTAACTAAATAGTATACTACATCATAATTCTATGTTACACATCAAATGCTGAAACACATGGAAACAAAGGAAAGCTAAGTTTCAGAGACTGAGAGTATAGAAAAAAAGATTGCCACTCAAGCGTGGAAGAAAGTGGGAAGGAAATGACATATGGAGAAGAGAATCCTAGAATCAGGAACAAGTGATGCAGAGTTCTGAGAGAGCTCTATAAGTACTTGAAAAAGTATTATACTAAGCATGCTTAACCTGATAGTTTAAGTCTTTCCTTCCCCAAAGCTTTTAATGTAGTCTACTACACAATTATCTCTGGAACAGAATTTAATTAAGTAAAAAGATGATGGCAAAAATAAGATTTAGTGTACTAAACTTCACTCTTCAGGCAGTTTTGCTAAAATATACCACCTTCACAAAGTGAAAGAGAAATTGTTCTCATAAGTAAGTATTAATTACAGAGAAGAATTTAAGATTCAAATACTACAGGAAAAGTAGTGTGTGAAAATGTTATGATAATGGTAAAAAAAAAAAAAAAAAAACCTTATAGGTGGGGTTCAAATATGTAAAGTCTATCATATTTCTTTGTAAAATATATACAATTAACTATAATGAAATCACCAAGGGAAATTAATTTACTGAGAACCCATTATGTGACAGGCACAATGTAAGACCTTCCCTTTACCTGAGGAAGGTCTGAAGTGGCACTCTGGGCTTCTGCAGGTTCAATAGTACTTGATGGTACTGGACCCAAACGCTCTTTGACCGACTGCTTCACAACAGGCAAAATGGGTTGCTGGACTAAAGGCTGCATTACCTCAGAACAAGAAAAAAATTTCAAACAAGCTGATTAGTTCAGGAGCATGGAAGGTAATCTTTGTTATTTTGTTACCAAATTGCCCGTGCAGAAAAAGTTGTAAAAACGCAACTTATAATCAAAACCTAACTGCCCTCCAATTTCCTTCACACATGAGTATAGATGTTTTCTCTGCATAAAATAACTTATTATAAAGTACAAGAAAAAGTTAAAATCCACCCTTTACTATCTTCTGTTTTAACAAAGTGCTGTAATACACCTCTATAAGCAATTAATCTAAAATTGTATTCTGATCGATTCACTGATGGGGGAGGAGACAGAAAGAGAAGAAGTGAGGGGAGAAAGGGAAGAAGTGAAAGAGATGGGAAGAAAGAATTTCTAAGATGAACCCAGAGCCTGATTTTCTGAAATATATATAGCTACCATTTACTGAGTGCCTCCTATTTGCCTGAGATTATTCTATATGCTTTATACATACCATCTCCTATAATTCTCTAAACTAGGATTAACTTCATAATTAAGTGAGAGAACAGGTTAGAAAGGTTGTGTAAGTTCAAGTCTACATAGTTAACAATAGCTAACAGTACAGCCAGGGTCTGAACTCAAGTCTACCTGATGCCTCTGCTCTTAAACACTACACTAACAGCTTTCTAAGAAAAGCACTTATTTCATACAAATTTCTCTCTTACCTTTGGGGAAGTAGTTTGTAACTGTTGGGTGTTTCCTTCTCTGTGCCAATAAACCTTAATAAAGCGATTGTTTAACACTGCTTCTGTACTTGATATTGCTTTCTTTGCTTCTTCATATGTTGCAAATTGGATAAGGGCACCTTCAGGATCACCATTATAGGCAACCTAAGATTTAAAATATTAACAGCAGTGAATTTACAGAGGAAATCCGTTGCTTCACACAGGAAAATTCATCAAGAAGTGAAATATTGGTCCTTCTAAGTAAGATTCTACCTATACACTTCCTTACATCTAGATTATTACCACGGTTTACTTTCAGTCCAGGAGAAACAGTAACCGAGAATTGTTCACAGTATAAAAAGAGCCTCCTCTATGTAATAGCAGAAAATGCTAATTGCACAAATGTTATATACATGCATTCAAAATGTTTCTCTTTTTACCCACAATTTTAATACTGACTATGAGAAATAACCCTTATATGTCAATGAGTGGCATGGCCAAGATCCATATAGTCTGGAGAAGGCAGTAAACTACTTTCCAAGGGGTAATCATTAACTAAAAATTACAGAAAAACTCATCCATACAGTATCTCAAATTTATAATTCCCACAACATATTTCCAAGAGCATGAGAAAATCTAAGAGCAACAACAACAAAGACCTACATAACAACAGCATCAATCATACAATCACATTTGACACATAAGGAAACTAAAATTTCAAGGATACTATATACCCATACAACTAATAAGTAATAAATCCAAGGCTTTTCACTTCAAATTTTCTATTCTTTCAATGATAGCAGTGTTTTCCAAAGTTTTGTACATAAAGCACAGGTGGTGTGCAGCAACAGAGAACAGAGATTAAGGGCACAGTCTGAATCAAATAGCCTGGTTCAAGCTTTGGCTGCTATTCTCATATGAGCATAAATAAGTTATTTAACCTTTCTGTGACTGTTCTATAAATGAGGATAGTAA